AGTCTAAGTAGCTGATTGGATTCATTGGGTTTAATGGACAAATATAATTGTGTATCATCAGCATAGATATGATTTAAATCATTTTAGAGCTGTTCCTGTAATCCCAACATCATATTCAAGCCTCTGTAGTAAAATATTGTGATCAACTGTATCAAATGCAGCACTGAGGTCTAACAGGACCAGTAGAGACACAAGTCCATTGTCTGAGGCCATGAGAATATCATAAGTGACTTTTACTAGTGCTGTTTCTGTGCTATGATGAGCTCTAAACCCTGACTGAAACTCTTCAAACACATTATTTCTTTGTAGATGTTCACGCAACTGACCTGCAACTATTTTCTCTAGAATTGAGATGAAACTTAGATTAGATATAGGTCTATAGTTGGCCAGAATTTCTGAATCAAGGTCATGTTTCTTAAGTAAAGGTTTAATTACAGCAACCTTAAAGCTCTGTGGTACGTAACCGTTTATTAGAGACAAAATAATCAGATCCAAGACGTGATTATTAATTAAGGGAAACATGTCTTTAAATAGTCTGGTTGGGATGGGATCTAGCAGACATGTGATGGTTTGGATGAAGCAATTATTTTTGATCATTCAGAGAGTTCAACAGGACAAATTCAGTCCAAACATAAATCAGGTTCTAGTGACATTTTTAAAGTTGTCTCATCTGACACAGAACCAGAGCTGATACTATTTATTATTAACCTTTATTTAACCAGGCTAATCCCTTTGAGATCACAGATCTCTTTTGCAAGTGAGGCCTCCCTTGGGTCATTATTATGACTTTATAAGTATTTAGTAGTAAGTCAGTTGAGAATACTGAGAATTCAGACAAGAACTGAGCATAAAAGCCTGGTGGACTCATGTTCATGCTGATTCATATCTTAGATGTTATTACTGTTTTTCTTATACATTTTATTGTTGGATGTAACTGGGACCCTGTGAACATAATTTCACTCCACCACATGTACCACATGAGGTGTGAATGACAATAAAGAAACTCTGACTCTGATAACAACTAGTGAGGTGGTCGTTCTGTTTTCCATTTTGGATGGGACAGACTTAGAGATAGTGACTCAAAAGTATTATAACTACTAATTGGTAATAGTCTCGACTAAAAAGCTGCTCCTCCACCTCGACCAGTTGTTCTAGGAACATGAACATTTAAATAATTAACAGGAGTGGATTCATTTATACCAACAAAATCCTCCTGATGTAGGCAGGCTTCTGTCAGACAGAACAAATCAATATGATGATCAGTTATCAGTTCATTAACAACAGAGATTTAGAGGAAAGAGATCTGATGTTCAATAATGATTTTATTATTTTGGCCTGGAAGTTGTATTTATTTTAATAAGACTTTTATGGTTGATATTTTTAGAGCTGATTTTTGGTTCATTTGATTTGAGCCGTGGGCGAGTTCACACTTTCAGTGGGGTTTTGGGTGGGTAATGAAGAAGCAGCAGAGGGGTGTGGAGGACTACATCTCTGCTTCCTGGACTGACTTCTAGACTGGACCATCAACAACCTGGATGTTCAACTGAATCAATGTTTACAGAGAAGTTATTATTAATGGTCCCAGCTGAGGACCATTGCACCAATGAAATTTAGTGAATTTCCTCAGATCAACAACATACACCATTAATCTAATAATTAATTATATATATATATATATATATATGTATATAATAAAGAAACCCTAACCTTATATTACCCAGAGAAGCTGTGATCAGATACTTTGTGTTGTCTGAAGTTTATCTGGAAGTTTTCAGCAGAAAAAACACGTCACGTTTAACAAACTGCATTTATTCCAGAACAGTTACAGCAAAGACAAAGTCCTCAAATTGCACTTCACCCAAACGACTTGATTTCTGCAGTGAAGAACGTTTTGATTTAGTTTTATTTACAGTGAAGCTCGTAGAAAAGTTACAGCTCATTAACTTCCTGAAACTTGTTGTAGAAACTGTCGGCTGTAAAGAGGAATCATTTTCACAAAGCAACCAATAAAAATTTTTACTAACATTTGTTTTTTTTATATTTATATATATATATATATATATATACCATGTTACAAAGTCAGGTGGTAAAATGTAGCCAAAGGTTAAAAAACGAGGTAACGGTTTGTTAAAGTCACGTTCCACGAGGCAGCAGAGACAGGAAGGAGCTAATAACGCCTCGTCATTAAAGAAATGATTTTCAATAAATAAAGAGTCCGTTCATGACGGTCAAGATAAACGCTGCTAAATCAATATATTCATATCACAAAATAAAGTTAATGGTTATGTACTCATTAGTTGAAAACAATCTAAATATTTATGACCTTTTCAACTTCAGTCATGAACCTCCTCGTTAGCGCCCGTCTCCACCTCCCCAGGTTCGTCCTGAAGAACTAAACCAAACGTTTGTTTTACTTCAGTTGTGCTTCATCTGGTTCTGGACTCTGGTCTCGGGGCAGCAGCTTGAACGGGGGGGGGGGGGGGGGTCCACAGACACCTCGTCCTATCAGTCTCTCCAGACTGTCCAGGGTCCATCCTGACCAGATGTCTGAACATCCTCTGCGGTCTCCTCTGGATGTGGAGGAGCAGCAGTTCTACTCCGAGTCTCTCCTGGAGAACTGAACTTCTCACCCCGAGTCCAGCTACCCTGCAGAGGAAACTCATTTAAACCTGCTGGATCCAGGACCTGGTTCTTTCAGTCTCTACCCAGAGTTCCTGACCTAAGGTGAGGGTAGGAACGTAGACCGACAGAGGACAATACCTTACAGCTAAGCTCCCTCTTCACTGCATCGGACCAGAACAGAGTCCACAATACTGCAGACACTGCAGCGATCTGTCTGTAGATCTCACGCTCCATTCTTCCCTCAAAGCTGTTAGCAGCCACAGATGCTAACATCTGTTAGCAACTACTGATGTCAACAGCTGTTAGCAGCCACTGACGCTAACAGCTGTTAGCAGTCACTGACGCTAACAGCTGTTAGCAGTCACTGACGCTAACAGCTGTTAGCAGTCACTGACGCGAACAGCTGTTAGCAGCCACTGACGCTAACAGCTGTTAGCAGTCACTGACGCTAACAGCTGTTAGCAGTCACTGACGCTAACAGCTGTTAGCAGTCACTGACGCTAACAGCTGTTAGCAGCCACTGACGCTAACAGCTGTTAGCAGCCACTGACGCGAACAGCTGTTAGCAACTACTGACGCTAACAGCAGCTAGCAGCCACTGATGCCAACAGCAGCTAGCAGCCACTGATGCTAACAGCAGCTAGCAGCCACTGATGCTAACAGCAGCTAGCAGCCACTGATGCTAACAGCTGTTAGCAGCCACTGATGCTAACAGCAGCTAGCAACTACTGATGCTAACAGCAGCTAGCAGCCACTGATGCTAACAGCAGCTAGCAGCCTGAAGTTTAATCTTCTGTCTCTGGAGCTGAGCGGAGGTGGTTGAGGTCAGAGGTCAAAGGATGATGGATTCTCTTTGCTGATGTTGTGCGCCAGGAGGAGCAGAACTAGCTGGAGTCTGAGGTAGACTTCAGGAACCAGGACCGTCTGTGATTTTACCCAGAACTCCTCAGGTTCATGTCAGTCCAGTCCTGGTGTCTCCGTGGGTCCAAACAGGTGAGCGAGGTTCTGTTTGAGCCCGTTTCAGGTAAAATCATGACATCAAAAGGAAAATTAAGGCTGATGATACCTCCATCTAAGTTCTGAGGATCATATGAGCCCCACGGCCCGGATCAGAACCAACAACCCTCCTGTCAGTCGAGCAGCTCTACCTCAACAGAGGCTGACTTTTCCTGATTCACCTGAACGCCCCGCAGACGTTCAGGTGGGTCAAAAACCCTGAAACTGTCCAGAACCAATAAAACTGGACAGGTGGCTTTGCCTTGTTCCTCAGCAGAACCCTGAATGAACCGGTTCTGTAACCCGTCATGACCTCTGACCTCTGAGTGCAGAGCCATTAAAGACAGTTATTGGACTTGGAAACGGTTTTTGGTTCCGAGCGAAGGAACAACTTCTCCAGAACATTTCTGGACATTCAGGTCGAAAAGTTCTGAGGAAATAAAAACATTTAATGTCCTGACAAACACAAACGTGATCCTGGAACCATCAGTTACAGAAAATAAATTAACGTCAGGTAAACAGCGGCGCCGTCTGTAAACAAACAAACAAACAAACAAACAAAAACGAACATGCAGAATGAAAGTGCCTAACTTCACCGTCAGCCCTTTTTAATCCAAACAGAACCGCCGTGAGGAACCAGAACCCGTTTCTGTAGGTTTGTCCCAGTTTTTATCTGAACAGAACCTCTGGAGCTGGACAGGTCCAGTAAAGGGCCCGGGTCGACGGTGTGGTTTCAGTCCTGGTTGGTTCTGGACCCGTTTTATCGACACTCAGAACTCCATGCTCATTTTTCCATTACTTCCTGTTCTTTCATGACCCAGTACGGAACCAGGACCTGGACTCTGCTGGTGAAACCAGACCAGATTATTGCAAAGATGCTGTGAAGGCCACAGGAAGTCCGATACATTAGAACCTTCCTGGTTCTGAAGGTCCAAGCTCTGAGGATCTGATAAAGGCCCGCCTCTGGGAGCTTCTCCAGGTTTCTTCTCGAGAGTTCAACCGTTTCTTCCCGATGATCAGAAACCAACCAGACCTCCCGCGGGTCTGAGCCTCCCTGCTGCCGGGTTCTAAAGGTTCTGGTGGTCTCTCCAGCAGCAGGGCGAGCGGTACCGCCGGCGCCGCTCGGCTCCTCAGCACATGGAGATGGTGACGTTGATGCCCAGGTTCCCGTTGTCGGCGAACAAGTGAGCCACGGACGTGTCGAACACCAGGCAGTCGCTGTTCAAGATGGCCGCCGCCACGCCGTCGTGGATGGAGCGGGGCGTGGCCTCCCAGGTGAGCCGGCGCCGGTTGCCGTTCAGCTCCAGGCGGTAGGCGAAGCTCTCGGCCTGCTTGCGGGTGCCGATGAGGAGGACGACGGCGAAGAACTGCTGGTGTCCTTCGTACTTCTCCTGCTTCTCCAGAACCAGCATGAAGTGGTGGCTGAAGCAGGACTGCATCATGACCCAGTCCACGGCGCCGGGCAGGTTGATGTCCGTCGCCAGGAACACGATGTCCTCGCCCTGCGGACACAAACAACACGGGTCAGCTGGATCCACCTGGACATCTAAACCTTGAACCTGACCTGGTACCAGAGGGTCCGGTGTTACATCACCAAACAGATTCTGATGGTTTGGATCCGGGTCGTGTGCCGGTTCTGACCTGCAGCGTGGTGATGGACTTGTGGGCGTGCATCAGGTGAGGCATGACGGCCTCCAGCGAGCCGTGCCACTTGCAGGTGGCGCCGGGACAGGGACAGGTGTACGGCCGGAACTCGCACACCTCCTCGTGGTCCGGTTTCTCGCTGTGGTGCAGCGCCAGCAGGCAGCCGGCCGACGAGTACTGCAGAACAAGAGAACGGGTCGGATCAGAACCGCCTGAGACCGTTCGACACAGAGCTGCTCCTGCAGAACCTCAGGAACCTGCAGCTGGTTCTGAAACATGAGCAGGACTCACCGGACCCAGAAACTCGTTTTGTCAGTTCCTCTGATCGGGTCTTTTTCAGATTTCACTTTTATTCACCAACAATTTAAATATTTAAATTGATTTCTAATAAAGTTGAGCTTTATCTTCTGTCTGACCCGTTCGATGTGCACGGTTCTGACAAATCGGACCTTCAGCTTCATCAGACCTTCAAACAGAACTTCAAATAAGATCTGAAGATGGTTCCTGAAACGCAGACTGCTGGTGCCGGCCAACAAGAGACGTAAAAACACAAACCACCCAGTGACCGCGTCACTCACAGGAAGTGATGTCACTCACAGGAAGTGATGTCAGAGGGGAACCTAGCATTGGAGCAGCAGTTAGCCACACAGAATAATCTGACGTTTCTTTAAATTATTTAAACCCGTCTCTTGGCTCATCTCATGGTGTCAGCACCGCAGAGACGCCCTCGCTGCTCTAACTTTAAATCAGGTGATAGTCCGGTGGACTCGGATCGATTGAGGACCAACATTCAGAACATCTGTTTACATTTCCAGCTGGTGGTTGGTTCTCAGTCGCACTGCACTGAGTCAGTCGACCTGTTCCCCCGCTCGCCTGTGGGGGCGCTGCACCAAGAACTACTGAAGGAAACAACACGAAAACCTCTGAAGACACTTCTTCTTCTTCTTCTTCTTCTTAAAATAAAAACAAAAATGGAGTGGCATCAAGTTTTAGCAGTTTTAGGAGTTCTGTTTTGTCATTTTTCAACAATGGACTCAGCATGAGAGGAAGCTGAGGCAGAAGACCATGGACAATGTTGTTTTTCACACAAGGCAGCTGACGGCTCCGTATGAGGTAAGAGAAATGTGCGTTTGTTTTGGTTCTATTTACCCAGAAAGCCCTGCGCTGTAGTCCACTTCCTGCTTTTGGAGTGGCCTCCAGTCCGCTTGCATCCACAATGCATTTGAACCGCACCAGAGTTCACATCAGCCGGACCGAGACCTGGGTTTTTAGGCGGACCAGAGTTCGCTTCTTTGGTCCACATCAGAGTTTGATTGCACATTCACACCTCCTCAAACGAACCGGACTTTCTAGGCAAACGGACGAGAGTTGGATTAAAAAAGACGAAACAGCGCTGGTGTGAATGCACCCTCAAAATAAAATAAACCCTTCAGCTCCACAGCTTCACCTAGAACTGAGGAAAACCACTAAAATATGGATTTATAAAAAGGTTTGAAGCAGCTACACAATAGTTATCCAGCACACACACACACACACACACACACACACACACACACACACACACACACACACACACACACACACACACACACACACACACACACACACACACACACACACACCATCTGTCAGCTCAGAAACCGGATCAGGACTTTCGGTGTTCAGGAGGACAGTAGAACCTGTCTGTGGTGCATTAAGAACTCGGAGCGGGTCGATACCAGTCAGGATAAAAGACGAGTCTGCTGGTTAATGGACCAGTAAGGAGACACCGTCCCCCACTGGGGCTTTCATCAGAACCAAAGATCCCTCCTCCCATCATTGCTGGGAAATGTACCCAGCAGGGCCCAGTTCACTGGGTCTGCTCTCTGATGATGCTGGGCTGTAGGCTCCGCCCACTCCTCTGTACACAACCATGGTGTCACATGACCTTGCTGTTAAACATTTTTCTTTCTGTTCTAAACAACCATCCACCGTCCCACCGGTACCGTTCGACTGGACAACGACCAGGAGAAGAAGCTGCAGTAGCAGCTGCTACAGCTCTGTGGCTGTGATGAGGTTTAACGAGAACGTCATTTTCAAAATGTTCCTCCATCCATCCATCCATCTTCACCTTCCTCTTGTTCTGGACTCAGGTCTCGGGGGCAGCATCTTGAGCAGGGAGGTCCACACATCTCTTTCCACAGCCTCCTCTTCCAGTTCTTGTGGGAGGACTCCAAGGCGTTCCTGGACCAACTGAAAGACGTAGTCTCTCCAGCGTGTCCTGGGTCTTCCCGGGGTCTCCTCCCAGTCAGACATGCCCAAACCATCGCAGCAGTTCTACTCTGAGTCTCCTGATAACTGAACTTCTCACCCCATCTCTAAGGGACAGTCCAGCTACCCTGCAGAGGAAACTTATTTCAACCTCCTCAGAGTTGGAGGAGTTCATTCTCGTCCCAGCTGCTTCACACTCGGCTGTGAACCGCTCCAGTGAGAGCTGAAGATCACGATGACGCCAACAGGACCACAACATCTGCAATAAGCCGAGATGGAATCCTGAGTCCACCGAAACAGAATCCCTCCACCCACTGGCTGCAACGAGAAATTCTGTCCATAAATGTGTCTATACTGGTCCTGTTAGACCTCAGTGCTGCATTTGATCCAGTTGATCACAATATTCTACAACAGAGACCTGAATATGATGTTGGGATTACAGGAACAGCTCTAAAATGGTTTAAATCATATCTATCTGATAGATTCCAGTTTGTAAATGTAAATAATAAAACTTCTTCATAAACCAAAGTTAGTCATGGAGTTCCTCAGGGCTCAGTGCTTGGACCAATACTCTTTACCTTGTATATGCTTCCATTAGGTAAAGTTATTAAACAACATGGGATAAATTTCCATTGTTATGCTGATGATACACAGTTATATTTGTCCATTAAACCCAATGAATCCAATCAGCTACTTAGACT